CTACTGAGATGATCATATCATTTTTATTCTTCAGTTTGTTAATGTGGTGTATCACATTGATTGACTTGCAGATATTGAAAAATCCCTGCATCCCTGGGATAAATTCCACTCAATCATGATGTATGATTCTTTTAATGCATTGTTGGAGTCAATTTGCTGGTATTTTGTTGACAATTTTTGCATCTATATTCATAAGTGATATTGGCCTGTAATTTTTTTGGTGATATCTGTCTGGTTTTGGTATCAGGATGATTATGGCCTGACAGAATGAGTTTGGAAGCGTTCCTTCTTCTGTAATTTTTTGAAATGGTGTGAGAAAGATATGTGTTAACTCTGTCTTTGGTAGAATTCCTCTGTGAAGCCATCTGGTCCTGGACTTTTGTTCGTTGGGTGTTTTTTAATTACTGATTCAATTTTTATTACTGGTAATTGGTCTATTCATATTTTGTGTTTTTTTGCCGGCTCAGTCTTGGCAAACTGTACCCTTCTAAGAAATTGTCCATTTCTTCTATGTGTCCTTTTTGTTGGCATGTAGTTGCTCATAGTAGCCTCTTATCCCTTGTATTTCTGTGGTGTTGGTCATAACTTCTCCTTTTTCATTTGTGATTTTTTTTTTAATTTGAGCCATCTACTTTTATCTTGATGAGTCTTACTAAAGGTTTATCAATTTTGTTTTTTTTCTCAAAGAACCAGCTTTTAGTTTCATTGAAATTTTCTATTGCTTTTTTAGCCTCTGTTTCATTTATTTTTGCTCTAATCTTTGATTTATTTTCTTCTAACTTTGGGTTTTGTTATTCTTTCTCTAGCTGCTTTAGGTCTAAGGTTAGGTTGGTTATTTGAGATTTTGCTTGTTTCCTGAGGTGGGCTTGTATTACTATAAACTTCCCTCTGAGAACTGCTTTTCCTGTGTCCCAGAGGTTTTGGATCATTGTTTTTGTTTTCATTTGTCTCAAAGTATTTTTTGATTTCCTCTTAGATTTCTTCACTGACCCATTGGTTGTTCAGTAGCATATTGTTTTGCCATGTATGACAAATCCATGGCTAACATCACACTCAATGGTGACAAACTAAAACCATTTCCACCAAGATCAGTTTTTTTTTTTTAACAGTTTTTTCTTTGTAGTTGATTTCTAACCTTATAGTGTTGTGTCGGAAAAGATGCTTGGTACAATTTCATTTTTCTTAAATTTACTGAGTCTAGCTTTGTGGACTGGCATGTGGTCAGTTTTGGAGAATGTTCCTTGTGAACTTGAGAAGAATGTGTATTCTATTGCTTTTGAATGGAATCCTCTATAGATATCATTAAGTCCATCTGGCCTAATGTGTCATTTAGGGCCTGTATTTCCTTATTGATTTTCTGTCTGGATGATTTGTCCATTAATGTAAGTGGGGTGTTAAGGTCCCCCATCATTACTGTGTTTTTGTCGATTTCTCCTTTTATGTCTGTTAACAATTGCCTTATACATGGAAGTGTTCCTATGTTGAGTACATAAATACTTACAATTGTTATATCCTCTTCTTGGATTGATCCCTTAAGCATTATGTAGTGTCCTTCTTTGTCTTTTGTAACAGTTTTTATTTTAAAGCCTATTTTGTCTGATATAAATATTGGTACTTCAGCTTTCTTTTGGTTTATGTTTGCATGGAATATCTTTTTCCATCCCCTTAATTTCAGCCTGTTTGTATGTCTAGCTCTGAAGTGGGTCTCTTGTAGACAGAATATATATGGTTCTTGTTTTTGTATCCATTTAGCCAGTCTGTGTCTTTTGGTTGGAGCATTTAATCTATTTACATTTAAGGCAATTATCAATACGTATGTTTTTATTGCCATTTTGTTGATAGTTTGGGGTTTGTTTTTGTAGTTCCTTTTTTTCCCTATTCTTCTTGCTCTATTTGCTTGTGTTTTGATGACTGGAAAATTTCTTTTAACATTTGCTGTAAAGCTGGTTTGGTGGTGATGAATTCTTTTAGCTTTTATCTGTGAAACTTTTGATTTTTCCATCAATTCTGAATGAGAGCCTTGCTGGATAGAGTATTCTTGGTTATAAGTCTTTCCTTTTCATCACTTTAAATATATAGTGTCACTCCTTTGTGGCCTGTAGAGTTTCTACTGAAAAATCAGCTGATAAATTTATGGGAGTTCCCTTGTATATTATTTGTTGCTTTTTTCTTGGCAATTTTAATATTTTCTCCTTACCCTTAATTTTTGTCAGTTTGATTACTGTGTGCCTTGGTGTGTTCCTCTTTGGGTTCATCCTGTGTAGAACTCTCTGCACTTCCTGAACTTAGGTGACTGTTTCCTAAATTAGGGAAGTTTTTGGTTTATTATCTCTTCAAAAATGTTCTCAGGCTCTTTCTCTCTCTTCTTTCTGGGACCCCATAATGTGAATATTAGTGTGCTTCATGTTGTCCCAGAGCTCTCTTAAACTATCCTCGTTTCTTTTCATTCTTTTTTCTTTTCTTCTGTTCTGCAATAGCGATTTCCACTAATCTGTCTCCCAGCTCACTGATCCATTCTTCTGCCTCATTTAGTCTATTCTTGGTTCCTTCTAGCATGTTATTCATCTCAATAATTTTATTTAACTTTATATATTCCAACTTTTTTCTAAAAACTTCACTCTGTGCATCTATACTCCTTGAGTTCTCTGAACATCTTGGTAATCATTACTTTAAACTGTTTCTCAGATAAATTGCCTATTTCCTAATCACTTATTTCTTCTTCTAGGATTTTATCTTGTGCCTTGGCCTCATAGATATTCCTTTTCCACATCATATTGTCTATCTTTCTATTTGTATTTTTAGGTAGGTTAGTTACTTTCTCAGCCTTGGAGAAGTGGCCCTCTGTAGGAGACATCCTATGTGACCCAGCTGTACATTCCTCTCTTGTCACCCAAGGGCGAGGGTCCAGCTGGCCCCAATCCCTTTGTGGATTCCTTCCACATGTTTTGGGATTGCTGTTTTCTTATTTCTGGTATCTGCCCCCTGGCATATGAGGCAGGACTAGAGGCTTATGCAGGTTTCCTGGCAGGAGGAATTGGTGCCTGCCCACTGCTGGGTGGAGCTTGGTCCTGGACCTCTGGTGGGTTGGGCCATGCTTAGAGATACCTGTTTCTCAGGAAGTCTGCTGATGAGTGGGGCTGTGTTCCCACCCAGTACGTTATTTGGCTTGAGGCTTCCCAACCCTTAAGCCTACAGGCTGTTGGGTGGGGCTAGGTCTTGGTGTTTAATGATCTAATCAAGATGTCAGCCTCCAGGAAGCTCACACAGATGAACACTCCCAGAATCTCCACCACCAGCTTTTATGTTCCCTGGGTGAGCCACAGCTGTCCCCCACCTCCCCAAGAGGCCTTTTAAAACCAGCAGGCAGGTTCCTATGAAATCACTGCCTTTGCCCTTGGATCTGATGCATGCAAGATTTTGTGTACACTTCCCAAGTGAATGAAATCTCCGCTTCCCCTAGTCCCATGGGGCTCCTGGAGTTACACCCCACTGGCTTTCAAAACCAGATATCCTGGGGTCTCCTCCCAGTGCCAGAATCCTGGGCTGGGGAGCCTGACCTGGGGATCAGAACTCTCATTCCTATGGGGGGGGGGGGTTGGCTCTCTGTGACTTTAACTGAAATTGCTTTCTTATTTATGTCAATTTTAAAGTGTTGTTTCATGTTATTATATTTTCTAGATAATAACTCAAATATTGGAATCTTATTTAATAAGTTAGAGATTCAAATTTTCTTACAAAATTTGATAAATTTAATCATGCTGATTATTTTCTTAAATGTCTTAAAGTGAGATGAGAAAGTTTGTGGTCACTATCATTAGCCATGTAAATGAATACCTGAAGATTTTTATATATCATTATCTTAGCAGAAACATGGTTGAATATGTAATATGTAAACTGTTAGTAAGTTAGTAATTTTTTGTCATCTATTTTATTTTCTTAATTTTCTTCTTGTTCCAATGACTTTGAGGTTTATTAAAATAGAGCTGAGCTAGACACACTGGAAAACTTAAATTGAATAAAAATGAACTGCTAAATTTATACCACCAAAATGATGGTTATTATATAACTCCATGGATTTTTCTTTGAAAAATATTGGCAGACTTGAAAGTAAATATTAGCTATACAGAGAAATGCCTTTATAATTCCACAAATAATTATAATCATCTGTAAAGTAATCCTAGAATTGGTGATTTTATGAGACTGTCTCTCTCTACTTCAAAGATCTCATGTCTAACTTACTCCCTCTTTCTTCAGTAATTAGATAACCTGAGAGTTTGTCATTCTCTCTGTAAGCTAACAGAGTTAAATGTTAACTTCAGTAAAGAAGTCATTGTTTTTTATGAGGAAACAAAATAATCTAACGTGCAAAATCCTAAGAAACCATGTCACTAATAGCATTTTAAAATTTACCTAATTTGTTGAGAAACAAACATTTCGATAATTGCAAAACACTATGCAAAGGTGTCTTCACTCACTATAGAGATCCTATATAATACTTCCGGGTAGAGGTCTTTTATAAAAGTCTGATATACATTTGCTCTTTGAAATAGAGACATAAGTATTTGAATCGGGTTCACTTAGTTTCCCAGTGTGGATGATCAATATTCAAATATAAATATTAAATGTCATGACCCCAATTCTTTACTTTATAAAGTTGTTGTACAATGAACTGAGAAAGTGCTTTACAGACTTAAAAATATTCCATAACATGTATATTTTGCTTATTTTAAAAAGTTATGTCTATCTGAAATTTGCACATTTCTCTTTTGCCTTTCTTCTCTAGACTCCCTGCAGTGTTTCAGAGTGGCTGAACTTAAAATTCTGTGCTCAAAGAGATCTTTAAATTGTCTTCTGTTGCACAAGTACTAATGTATAATGCAGAAGGCTTACAAAACCTCTAAGAATTTCAAAATCACTGCACTGACAGTGGAGTGGGTTATAAAGTATACCTGTTGCCTTTAGCTACTAATAAGAAAATCATTTTTACTTGGTTTAAATAGGTGCCTCATTTGAGGGCAATTCATCAGACTTAAGGATCAGGACAGACAAAGGTGCTATGGCAGCTTGATGACCTGGAGCAGTGCTCGCAGGATGGATGGGCTCCCCTTCTTCAGCTCCCCACTCTTTCTTCCCTAGAGTTGCTTCTGCTTGTTCCATTTGAGTTCACTACCTGCCCATTTCTGAAAAAGGAACGTAAAACAATATAAAGATGGAGAAGAATGTGAAAGATCAACTGGCAGGCTCCTTTTTATTTGACCCTGTACTTTTAACCTATAACCCAATTTATGATGATTACTAAAGAAAATAAAGATGTCCAGGACTTGAAGTTACATTTTTCTTTGTATGTAATGATTGATAAGCAAATTAAATTAAATCTACCATAGAAAGAGTATACTAGCATAATTCTAACAGCTTAACAGAAACTTTTTTTAAAAAAATTTGTTCCAACAGTAGTTGAAACTTCTCTTAACACAATTACATGTTTGAATATGTGAAATGTTTTATCATGAAGACCTCCTTTAAAGGGGATGAATTTAAATGACTACAGCTTTAGGAGAAAGGCCTAAAATTAAAGATAATAATTTTTACTTCATTAAAGGAAGATGGCTAGAGGATCCTCCTTTGGTAATATAAAGAAAAGGATAAATAAGAAGATAGGTTTAGGATTCAGGTATAAAATATAAAATTTCTGATAACAATTTAATATGTGTAATCTTCTTCCATAGGATCTTTTTTTCTTTTGGAAGAACAAAACTTACTTCACTCTAGATAAGTCGCATGTTATAATAATTTCCTCCTGCTCTCTAAACAACTTTGACTTCAGTTCTGTGCTCAATAAATGCTATTAGTGTTTTAATACTACTCATCCTTCAATGATTCATAAAGATATATAAAAATACTATCAAAAATTCAATTATGAAATCTAATATTGTATTTTAAGCAAATTACAGATAATAGATGTGCATCTACTTGTAGGTATAGCTATATAGATGATAATTATAATTAATTATATTAATTGATTACCTAATACATTCCAGGCATTGTTCCAGCTACTGGGAATAATGACGATGAACTACTCGCCTTCTTGAAGTACATTCATAACACTGTGTCAGTAAACACAAACTGCTTAAAAGTTGAATTTGCTGCTTCCAGTATACAACAAACCTGGCAAAAGGTACTATTAATTTTGTACATAAATAAGAACACACAAGCTATGTCTTGTTTTCAGGATTATTTATGTTGTTATAAAAGAGGCCAAGATTCAAAACTGTTCATACAGAAATTTATCTTTACACACTTGAAAATATTAACTTTGCTTTTAAAGGAGTTAATATTCTTTGAGGCACATTTTATTTACATTTATATTAGTGGAATTGTGGAATTTATTATCACAAAAGAAAAATCTACATGTTATCTCATAAAAGGTAACTGTAAAGAAGTAGAAAGGAGACAGAAAAGACAAATTTAAGCTAGAAAAAGGAAAGGATTTTAAGAAATCTTTCTATAGCAGGCAAAACAAATTGTCATAAATTGAGTGGTTTAAAGCAGCACAAATTTACTATTTTGGCGTTTTGTATGTAGGAAGTCTGGCACAGGTCTCCTTAGGCTAAAATCAAAATTTTGGCAGGTCATTTCTTTCTGGAAGGAGTGGGAGAGAACTCATTTCCCTGCCTTGCCCAGCTTCCGTAGGTTTTCTGCATTCTTGGCCCTTATCCCCCCTTCCTCCATCTTCAAAGCCGGCAGCATCTAATCTCTCTTGGATTTGCCTTGGGTAGTTACCTCTCCCTCTGACCACAGCAGGATAGGTTCTCCAGTTTTCATCACTCATGTGATCATATTGGGCCTATTTTGGTAATACAAAATACTCTCTCATCTTGAGATCCTTAGCTTAATCATGTTTTTAAAGTCCATTTTGCCTTATAGGGACAACCACATTCATAGCTTCTAAAGACTGGGACTCAGACATCTTTGGAAGGCTGTTATTCTGCCTACCACAGAATTATGTAGCCTCCTCCTCTCTGTATTGACAAATAAGAAAAGTATATTACCAATTCATAAAATTATTTCTTCTAAGTAATTTGATGAATGACAAAGAGAATCAGGATTTAAGTTATTAATTGAATGCATTTTAGTGTTTTCAATAAATTTCTAATCTGGAAGGCATTCACATGAAACAGATCTACTTCAAATATTTGCCTTTTTTATATCTTCTTAATGAATAGTTAATTTTATTGAAATGCATTCTTATTGTAACCACTTAAAAATGTACACTACATCTGGTTAATGGTTTTTAATTTTCTCTTAAACCTACATTTTATCACTGCACTTCAAAGCTAAACACTATTAACAGCCTGATATGTATCTTTCAACATTCTTTCTCCATGCTTATGCAAAATATTCAGTTCATAAATTATTCATTCTTTTTATACCTGCTCAACACTCCATAGTTTATATAGTAAAATTCTTTAAATATTCCCCTATTAATGAACATTCATATCGTTTAGTGGTTATATTCTATAAAAGAGAATTGTTAATTAAAATTATATGTACTTAATTTTAAATTTTTCATAGATACGAATTAATGGTAATGGTAATTATAATTAATAAATAATAAATATTTTTGGAAAAACAAAATAATAGTTATTACTCTTTTAAACAACTAAACAAATTAATAGAGGACCATGTTGGGGCACCGAGAACAATCCTTTCTCCGTCCTTTCATTCTCTCTATACATACCTATTTTTAGTATAAGCTAGTGGGTTTTGGTTTCAAGAAATACAATCAAATTTTTTTTAAAGATGAGGAATATATGAAGTATCTGTACTAAAATGAAAAGCTGAACAACTCAGCATGGGGAAGGAACAAAATGAATCTTTTCTAGAGGTTTTTATACAGCTGACTACAATACTTGTGTCTGTAATTAGCACACAGACAGCTGATAAAAGGTAAATGATGACAGTGTAATGCCTAAGTGACAGTTGTGCCTAGGTAGTGTTTCTATGCAGTGGGAGTAGGAATGACTGAAATAGAATACATTGTTGAGCAGGGAAGACTGCATTAGCAGCAGGAATACCTTTGCCAGTATCAAAAAATGAGCACCTGCACTCTGGAGACACTGAGATTGAAGTTTAAGATCTCAGTTCATTTCACCACCTCCCATGCACACCTGAAGAATAGAACCACTGGTGCGTAACTCCACTGCCTTCTACACTGTCAGTGCCCGCCAGCTACTCTGGTAAAAACGGTGCTTTTCATTTTGCTTTTTTTTGTGCATTTGAGATACTTGCCTGATCAGAGTTAATCTCAAAGTGTTGATGACTTTTTGTCAGTGCTGGGCTTAGGAAGTTGTACGGGCTTTAATTCATCTGCTCCAACTCTATTGTTCCATGTACTCTGTTACTTTTAGCACATAGATTTAGTAGAACTTAATTTTTTAAGAGCCTCTGGAGGGATTACAGCCCTGCTGCCATCTTGATTTCAGATTGATGACCTCCAGAACTTTGAGAGACTAAGTTGCTGTTGTTTTAAGCCACTAAGTTTGTGATAATTTGGTACCACAGCCACAGGAAACTAACAGAATTTGCCTTAAAATTACAGAAGATACCTGACTAGCTTATTTAAGCCAGAAGCTGGTAGGATAGCCTGCTTGAAAGACTTTTCACATATCCTGGAATAGAAGAAGGGTATTTCCCAGAAAGAATTCAGGGAGTACAAAAACAGGTGATAAACAAGACTCTGGGAAGATGAAATAAATAAGCCAATAGATGAAAGAGTTCTGCTGGTTTCCTTGAAGAATTTCTAAGTTTTGATTATTAGCACTTGCAAAATTAACATGGTTTTAGATGTGTCCTTCAGGAATACCTTATGCAAAGTGTGTAACAAAAACTTGTAGTATGGCCAAATCCTTAATATCTGAGCCATCTATTTAAAAAGTACTTTATCACTTTACCCAAGAATTACTATAAAATATATGTTTTATTACTTAGTTACATATTTAAATGGTATGTCTTTATCATCTTGGTTACTTTACTAACCCAAAGTTTTGACATCTCTACAGTAGAGGATTTCATCACAAGTGTCATGATCTTAGACTCACTATTCAAGGCAGTTATATTAGGTTAATCTCCAAGGAAGCTTTAAACAATTTTTTATAGGTTTTGTTGCTTTTAATGATCCTGTGTTGCTTAAAACTCACAAGTCTCTCTTTAGTTGAAAAAAATGCTAGAAATTGGTGTTAAATATTACTATAAGAATAATAGTTTCACACCTATCTTTTTCAAAGCTGTCTCTCACTCAACACTTACCAGGGTTAGGATCATTTGAATCTCCCATTTAAAACAAAAAATCATCC